CGTTGGTGCAAAGTCCGTGAGGTAAAAGCCGAAGTGAGCGAATAAGAAAAAAATTTAGATCAGCCAAAACTAAAGGAGGCATAAGCGCCCATAATCAGAAATTAAAAACTGGGGGGAAAGGAGTCTTGGGTTTTGAGAAGGCCATTCGGACACCATATGTGTTGGAGAAAAAATATCAACTTGATTCCAGTTGTGGTCCGGTTTCTAATAGAACGGTAAGTATTTCATCCTTATACAAGACAGAAGAACTTTGGTCACATGCATTTCGTTTGCATTTAGTCTACTGCTTTTCTAAGCTTCCTTCGGTCACCAAGGGCGTTCAGGCAAGCAGGCAGTGCGGGAAAGGCTAGTGACTCGAGGGAAAACACAAAACACAAAGCACAAAGCTACAAAAGACAATATTCCCAAAAATGCCCGGAGTTGGTGTCATTGCCGCGTTCTGTATAAGGGCTATAGAAAACGGGATATACATCAACTTCAGCTTACTTATCAAAACGACAGAATAAAAAATTAAAACAGAGGGCAGATGCACGATTCAATAATGAGTGAGAAAACATGAGTCAACATTAAGAACGCATTAGGGACTCTTAATGACAAGATCAAATAACAAACGGACAAATTTGGCGATGCGTTTTTTCGACAGCATAATGAGAGACACACCTTAAGGCCACACTACACAAAGAAATGAAAAAAGTTTACACAGCATACCGTTTCCTCCTGTTATCAATAGGGAAGGCGCATGTTACACATATTGTAAAACTATTCGAATACAGTAAACCTAAAGGCATTAAATAGTTTCAAGTTTGCTTGGTATGTTGACAATCCAGCATATGCAATTTGTCGACAAGTTGAACTATAATTCTGCTACTACCAGATGAGTTTTGATAGCAAAAACATCACGGTTGAAGCGTCATTGATAGACTTCATGTGCTTCAGCGACTTTTCTTGGCTCATTTTGACACTTCTGAAGAATGTTAACTTTACGCAGCCACTGTCTATGCAAGCTGGATTATTTTGTTGTTGCGGCTGCCTTCTTTCTGTATGAGGTTCCAGGAAGAGAAAACGAAAGGTCAGTAAGACGCTTGCCCACCAAGGAATGCCCCGGAAGTTTGTAAACATAATACGTTCTTTGTATTCTCAGACTTCCGGACGTGTGAGAGGGTACGGAGAGCTCTCCAAAAGCTTCCGCACACAAAGCGGTGTCCGTCATGGATGACCACTCTCTCCATTCCTTTTCAACTTTGTGATCGATGAAATAATGAGACGAACGCTGGAGGGTCTCCAAAACCCTGGTGTTCAAATAGCCTGTGGAGAAAACCTTGTCGATCTGGAATATGCATACGACATCGTTCTCATGTTCGAAGAGGAGAAGAAGGCGCAAGTATTCTTGGATGAATTGACCAAAGTCATCCCGTCCTTTGGTATGCATTTTGCACCCACAAAGTGTAAGGTAATGCTTGTGGAAGTGCAGTCACTGAACACGCCCCTTACAATCCAGGGAGAGGTACTGGAAGTTGTGGAGCGTTTTACGTACCTTGGAAGTTGTATTAGTTCTGATTGCAGTGTGACAGATGAGGTGAATGCACGAATCTGCAAGGCTCGGGCCGCGTTTGCTAACTTGAGACACCTATGGCGTCAGAATGGTTTATCCCTGAATCTGAAGGGACGTGTGTATCAAGCTACAGTACGGGCTGTTTTGTTGTATGGCTGTGAGACTTGGCCTATTCGAGCAGCGGACCTGAGACGTCTTCAGGTGTTCGACAATCGTTGTCTCAGAACCATAGCTCGTGTGGGTTGGTGTCGGCGAATCCGTAACGAGGCAGTTAGAAAGCGTGTTTTCGGTTGTGTAACGGGTACTTCCATTGGAGAATGTGTCCAGCACCAGAAGCTGCGTTGGTTGGGACATGTTTTACGTATGCCGAACCATCGATTGATGAAGAGAGTGCTGTTTTCCATGCCCAATTCGGAGTGGCGTAAACAGAGAGGTGGCCAACCGTTGACTTGGCAGAAGAGTATGAACGAGATCACGAAACGCTTGGATGCTGTCAGCGATAATCCAGGAAACTTTCAGGAAATTTCTTATCTCAGACATCTGGAAGCTTCTCAGCCCTCTGGTTCCTTTGAGTGGCATGACAGCCGAAAACAACGTTTTATTTATTGGTTTACAAGCAATTCCTGGCTTTGCGTGTAGCAAACTTCAAATGCGAGGTAGTTTATATAGGTAGTAGATGGATTCAAAAATAAGGAGCTTGAGAATAGAAATAATTCCTGCGCATAAAATGTATTTTGCTGTCCCGAGGATTTTCTAAAAGACGTGCTCAGAGAAGTTCACAGAACTTCTGTTTAATTAGGTGGAATATGCCAAATAAAGCTGATTAATGCTTACGCAAATTAACAGTAGAGTCACTAACACAAAAAGTATGTTGACAAACGATGTGGTGAATAGTGTGTGTCACACTGTTCCATTTCTTGTTAGAGAGAAGCCACTGAAGACCCAAACAACAATATGCAAAACCTATTAGTAACTCGTTTAATTTTACCGTATTGCACGAGTGATTTGTATCATTAAGTATAAGGATAATTCAAGAACTTTTATGCCTTAACTTGAGATGACATCCAATTTATATCAAACATAAATAAGTACCTAAGGGGTCGTGATCAGAGTGTGGGATTAAAGCCGTATCTAGCTGAAGTTACGCCAGTCTAGCACCACAAAAATGGTACGATGTTTTGGACAAATTAATAAGGCAAGATTCATCTTGAATATGCTCAAAACAGTAAAAATATTTGGATGGATTTTTGTAGATTGATACCAGCGTAAGAAATTTTAAAAACGAGAGTGACCTCGAATATATTCTTTTTATTCATCAGATATTTTTGCGTTTTTACTGATACCTTTGGTTGTTGATACATACCATAAGTGTGGTAGTAATTTACATTAAATTGGGTTAAATCATAAAACCTCAGTGGAATAATGCTTGAAATAAAAATGAGTGATCTGAGTGGACAACATATAGATTATTGTGACAGCGTATATTTTAGATCATTTCTTAAGCAACACGGCGGTGTAAAGCTATGGCGTGAGCACACCTCTAATGCCAAGTTTGCTGGTCACATCTGAAGCACGCACCAGTGAAGAAGTGAACCCAAGCATGCCCTTACTAAAACGGTCTCCGAACTGTAAATAAAAACGGTGTTCCGCCCAATAAACGCTAATGGCGCAAAATTAATTCGATAACGACTGTACGCACTATGCACTCAATGTAGCTAAAATTAGCCAAAATTGACTTTCCGTTATTTGTCATTGTGCAACGAATATTGATGTTGACGAAAAAGTAGTAAACCAGTTCTAGACGGGATTGATGAACTTGCGTAAGTACGGCTCCAAAAGTGCACGAACTGTAAAACAAAAGTAAAGAATTCTTGAGTTCTCAAGAAAGCCGTACTGTTCATCAGTAACAAATAACCAATAACACTTTAAACGTGTCCATAATAACACCACTCTGGCAAGTTGACAGGCGTCGGCAGCATTGCGCGAGTATATTATTTGTGGTAAATTTAGGGCAAGATGTACTGGCCTGGTGGCTGCTCGGTTATAAAATCACTAATTTAGGTAGATGACACTTAAGATATAAATGAACCTCTGAAGTTTGCTGATGAATGAAAAATAAAAATAAGAATAGTTGTCAGCTGAAACATTTTATTCCACCAACGTCCATTTGTTTGAAATAATTGGTGGACGCTTAGTGATTGATCTATTTGCCAAACCCTGTAACTTAGTTGCAAACGTTTTTCCACCAAACGAGCCTGCTTTGTCATTGCATGTTTACAAGCAGAAACGATGGGTCAGCTAACTACAGTGTCCATGGAAAGCCCATTGGATTTGGGTAGTACGTCTAACTTTATTGACTGAATCTATTGAATCATAAGTGCAACGCCATACAAACACTTTCATCAGCAAAGACTTTACATTGGATTGTACTGGTGGGAATTTTAAAACATTAGGAAGTCGGAGCACCAATAATAAAGCTTGATATAGTGGCTTAAAGACAAACCACTTGCCGAGGTATCAATATCCAGAGCGCGGAAGATCTAGGAGTGACCATACAGATTCGGGATCAAGTTTTACCCTTGATAAATGAATAGGCAATCATTCTCGCCAATTCTAATATCATATGTCAAATCAAGTGTAACTTGAATCAAGTCGCATTTCTGACAGCAGACATTAGCCAGCAAGCATCTGTTTAAATTATTTCTAATCTTTTCTCACAAAAGTTGCAAGTTTTACACCCGCTACTGAAGGGAGTACAAGGGATATCAACGTATTTCAGCATATTTTATCCTTGGGTTTCAATGACCAGATTTCACTGCGAGGTGTGATAAGCTCCCCATATCTAGACACGAGCAACACGTTTCATTCTGACCAAAACCGGTCTCTCAACCTAAAATAGCGCTCTCTGGTGGGTGATCGCGTCCAGAACCAACAACTATTTATTGTTTAGAGGTCACTATTTCGATTTTGGACCAGATATCAGCATCCTTATTTGCCACGTGTGCTAATGCGTTTCCAATATGATCGCAACTGTTTCATTTAAACCTAGTCTGTGCAGTCATAAACAGTTTTGTGTCTAATAGATTGCTATAAACCCAGTGAACAAACCATTCCTTCTTGTCTAACTCTTCATCTGTTTATTGCTTTCCAACATCTAACAGGTTACAAATAGTAGCACCCTAATAAGCACACTTTAGGTATTGTTGGCACCAAGATGTCCATTACAAAATGGATACATAGGTTGAATTTTGCCTTCTGTTTACGTTAAGCGAGTCCTCCGATTTATGAGGAGCCTGGTCATGTTGGAAATTTATTTCGTGCTCTTGTGTCACTAGGAGATAAGATAACTAATACTTAACCATTCGAACATCATCCATACGTTTATATGAACTTGAAAGTGTCGCATTAATTTGTTGTTTATCGGAATGTTGTGAAACGGGCTATCATAAGCTCACATAATTTTATTTCCTCTTTGAAGGCTTCTACGGCCCCAAAGGAAAACCAATTAGGATTGTTGGGCATTTCCAGAATAAACCTAGCTGATTATGCGCAGAGACCAGAGGTTGCCCGAAGTCTGTTTGAATATCTCTTTTATGGTCTAAATGAAACTCAGCTGGCCCTAAAATTAATTGGGCTCGTCATGGGAAAAGGACATCTAATCTGCAAACGGCAGGCGCATGATATACAGGAAGACAACAAAAAACGGAATATACCTGGTCTAGACTGGTGGTGGTTACTACAAAAGGCAGAATGCTTTACTCGGTATGTCACCTTTTCAGTGTTTTTTATATACAATTCGGTATATAGAGAATCAGACATAATTGGTAGTTGGAATACCTTTACTTGTTATTTGTGCAGTTCAAGAGCAACTACTTCAGGCAAAACTTCATCATGAGATCAAAAAGGCAAGCTATAGGGTGTGGGGTCTAGTAATCCAGAACAACACGAACTTAACAGACAAATGGTGGTAAAACATCACTTGTAAGATGCATGAGTGGAAAGATTTCCTGTTTATATATATTTAGAAGCAAAGGTGGGGTTTTTCGATATTTACAGGAGTGGAAAGATTTCCTACTTATATATATTTAGAAGCAAAGGTGGGGTTTCTCGATATTTATAGGTGGTATAGTGGTCAATAGTGTGGAACTTGTAATAAATTGAAACTAAGGTAGAACCCGGTTTCTGGAATGTTCAAATCCTGTTGTCGTAAACCATTCATATTCATGCAGTAAATCACTGTGAACGGGAATATTTTGTATTGGGATCACATTCGTGCATAAAGACGGAGACAGTAACGAAATCTGGCCAGTTCTTACAGAACGTGTCGTATGTGTAAAAATAGTCAACAGTGACCTAGCTATGTAGTCTTCAAATATTAGCCGGAAGGTCGAGGATGTGAATACCTCTAGATATTAGTAGGGCGTGCACCGCGGCTGCTTATTAACGGTTGTAAAAAGATGTAGAGCACTCCTCGGCTTCTGAACTTCGCGTGACGTCAGCTGAGGAGCAGATTCTCAGGTAAACAGTAAAAAATTCATACAATTTTGCTTGAAGTGCACCGCAAAAGTTCAAAAACTAGAGGTATACTGCAGAAAATCAAAGAACAGCTGAATCCTAGCCAGAGACAAACAAAAAGGTTTGCTAGATAGCATATGGATCTAAATTAACCATGAACATCAGTAGTTATTTCGGCCAGTGAACTTCAATGATTTTATCTTATTTTTGCTATGCTGCGTCGCGGCTGATTGAACTTTTCCACAATCGTAAAACATGCTTATGTACAAACAGGAATAGTCCTGTTTACTAAGAGTTGAATTATGTTGGTCAATGCTTCAGCGAATGCGTGGGCCGGATTTGGTGAAGGGGAAAAAACAGTCCCTGGGAAAAGCGTTTCCTAAAGCAAGTAAACAGCAAATGGATTGTACTTGAAACATAAAAGTTGCCAAGTGACCCGCAAATTTGTGAGCAGTTTTGCTTTGCGACTTCTCACTTTTCTGTTGTGCGGAAATGTGCTCGTTTGCTGGTGGACGTCATATAAGCCCAAGAAGGTGTTCCTAGGTTATCCTGATGGTGTGGTATTTTTACGACAGTTCATACTTGGTCACTTATAACTGGAGTGTCGCTGTGAAGGCTATTGGCAAGAAATAAATGAACTCTGAATAAGTTCAACAGCATTCGCCGTATCGTCTAATAATGGTTACAAGTTACAAGCAGTAATTGTACCATTTAGAGTGGAGATAATTCCATCACAATGTTAGACCATTATAAGCTAAAAAGAAACTACAGGTGACCATGCAGTGAGCGGTGCACCAACTGGCTTGGATAATTACGTGACTTCACCAGGTCTTTGAGATACCAAGGTGTGCGTTTGAGTAAACAACGTTCACAAGCCACACTTCTCCAGGATTGTAAGTACGGGCAATAGTCACCAGTAAAATACAACCCAGATCCAATATCTGCTCCTTTAGCTGAGATCAGTTTGCATCCCGCTGGTTATACACATAGTTATACTTACTAAAGCTGGAAAAGGTTTGAATCACTGTAGGTAGAAAACTAAATCGAAATAGCCATGGGGGCCCTATGGATTCACGAGGACACTTGCACGGCACTCAATCAGTGATTCTAGACAGGTCGTTGATACCTTCAAGTAATGCAGAGTACACAAGCTTGTTTTCTAATAACATGTATTCAGCCGTTATACAGTTTGCTCACGATCAGAAGATTAGAAAATAGAGGACTTATGGCTTAAGATGTGTGCGATTGATATGGTCTTCCAGATACGGGTATAGCAGCACTCTGACCGTTTACCAAGGCATAAAAATAGTCTTGAGTGTCTCGTGTGTGTGATTATGCCACTTGATGTTTCAGCCTCGGAATGCTGAGAGACGCAGAAACAGCGGCCAAAGATTCTGCAGCACAACAGCCTTCCACAGACGCTTATATGCTCCTCGGAGCTCTTGCAGTGCATAATAATCAGCCTATGGGAGCTATTCAAAGTTACACTTGTGGCTTATCCAAGCTTCCAGAAGATGTCGATATTTTATTCTCTCTTGCATGCAAAAAGGAGGTGAGGAGGGTGCTTTATACACGTTTTCATAATTTCGAATTTCTTTACTTAGAAAACAGTTTTGGTTGAATTGTTCCATCTATGCGTTTTTCAACTTCTAACACAATTTTCCGAAATTGCACCGGCCCTATCCCCTTACCAGTAACTGGTTTTGTTTAAGATACACCACTGGTTCATTCTGACGTATTCAGCTTTGCTACGTCGATGGATTGCCTTTCCACAGACCCAACTAACGACAGGGCACTGTCAGCTCTCATGTTTCAATCTACAGCCATGGCGTCTGTGCACCCAAAAAGGTCATGCTTGGACGACTTGATCCAAAACGAAAAAGCTGGACCGTAAAATTTAGAGCATTTGTTTTGTTACTGCTTTGTCTAATAATAGAAACGTTTTCGGACGTGTATGCACTTTACATCTGGCCTGCAGGAAGATGTGGTAGATCCCATATGTGTCGGACTGACGCTTGCAAGCACCACTGCTATCGCGTGAGTTTTGACTAACGAGTAATCTCAAAGGTGTATTTGCATACTGTCCTCCTGTTGAAAAATGAATAACCCTTCTACCCTTCGTGGTTGTTAGACACACTTTTTTGTTGGAAAAAACTGCATGAGGAAGGTGTTTGGCAGTTCATTGAAATACTGATAGCCTGGTTGCGTCGATCTGTTTGCCAAGGTTGACAATTTGCTTGCAAGTGTTCCATAAATAAGCGTCCGTGTGCGGTTGGACTAAACAGTCAAACAACAATATGATAGCCGTGCACAAATGGTTTGTCGTAGTTCTTGGAAAAGTAAATAGATCTTCCTTTAGCTCTTTGTGAGGCCCTATGATGCCCCGAGGATCTAGTTTAAATTCTTTACGAAGCTTAGCTAGTGCGTTGTGTAAAGTGCCAAAAAATAATGAAGCAGAAAAGTAACTTTAAGTCGCATGCACCAGTAGTCATAACAATACAAACTTTAATTGATTAGTGAGTTCGACATTGTGATAGCGCATTTATAGCCTGTTTTCCTGTGATCCTTTTTAAACATGAAGGAAATGGGTGAAACGGATGCGGCCCTGCTGCTTTACAAACAGGTGGCAAACTTGGATAGCACTCACACTGGGGCACTGAGCGCTGTTGCTGCTCACTACTATCAAGAGGGGCAACCGGAAGTTGCATTGAACGTTTACAGGTAAACTCGATACTGTTTCCGGTACATACTGTATTTATGATTTGGCAAGCTTCCGATTCGTATCAAAAGAGGAAATTAAAGGCAAAATGCCATCAACTGGGTCGATAAAATTCATACAGCCTGGATTAACTTCGTTTCTTTGGTGGCGTGTAACAGCGTTTAACGAGAAACAATGTTGAACAAGTTTGTTCTATACGTGTTTCTTTTGGAATTTCGAAGATTTAATTTTTGAAGAGTGGCTTTGCATTTTTCCGAAACCATGGAGCCAGCGTTTTTATTTTGTTATACAATAGCCCGGACTAATGGAGACTACTGTCAGTGAGACAAAACTCACCAATAATTCCTCTGAAACTTCTCGGCGAATTCGACTGGACGACAGAAATTTCGGGGTCCAGCAGACTTAGAGTCGAAGCGTAAATTCACGCATTCGTCGCTCACTTTCTGTCCTCAACTACCTACTGTCTAGATAACTTGCGGTGAAATTGCTGGTCGAGGCTATTCACAATGATGGCTTTATTATTACTTCACCTCTCAAAAAGATTAGTGCTGTTAGTGCTTGTTATGCCTGAAATGTTGAGTGTGCCCCATTGTGTCACGTTGTCTGCACCCCACTGATTACCTACTACTCAGATAAGATAATTCGAAAATTCCTGTCCTTAATTCAACATAAAATAATGGCTAAGCTTAAAAACATTGGAAATTGTCGATTGTTTGTGCTATATAGAAAATTACCTATTGCCTTTTCTGGGTCGAAACTGGACAAAAAACCTGGGTTCGTCAGTCTTGTAGCACTACTCTCTCATAAGTGTACAAAGCTGACTTGTTAGTATAAAGTGAAACCAAACATATTGTAAATTTTTACCGTTGTAATTTTTTTCTGTATATTGACAAGTACTTCCATGCTCAAGCATTTTTAAGCGAGCCAGGAATCAGGCTAACTCAACTTAGGCTCTTAGGTATGGAAATACCGTTCAGTCCATCAGAACCAATCTGTGAACTTCTGTCTTAACCGTTGAATCTGCAATGAACATTGTAACATGAAAATACTAAATTGGCTATAAATACTTGGGGAGGGTGCACAAAGAAGCCGCTTCATTGAACCCACTGTGGGTGTGGGGTTACTGTGATCATGTTGCTGAACTTTTGTGATCAGTTGATTGCGTTTTTGATGCACACAAAGTACTTAAGAATGGAGCGTTCAATCTAATTCTGTTAGACAATGTTTTCCTAGTGATATCTGCATTATGTTCCCCGCGCACTAGTTCATCCTACTCTTATTACCGTAGCATTACCAGCAAAACACGTTTTTGTAAGCTGGCAGGTATGTAATCACATACAGTTGTTGCCGGTTTTTGCGGGAAGTGCGGTGGAAATTCTTTTTCTCGAATGCATGCTTGTAGAAGTTTGATATAACAGATATTGTCAGCTACTTCATCATTGTAGTTGCCACTCTTACATCTATTTAAATGCACATGGTCTTGATTCGGAAGAAAAACTAAATTTTCTTCACTGTGGGGATGTACTGTATATACCAAATCATCATTCACAAGAAAGAGTGCCGTTTTCCGCACCCAGTTCAGAGAAGCACAAACAAAAAGCGAATAAACTTTGACCAGTCTCAAGAGTTTGAAATCAGTTACTCACTATCCGGGAACCGCAACCTTTAGGATGCGGTCTGCTTTATTCCTTCTGTGCATGGTATGAGAAGCCGCTAATCGATTTCAGTGGCGCTTTCATTTTCAATTTCTATCCTGGTTAGCTGAATGAGTGTTTCGAGATGTAGGCATCTTGGAAGGTTTGTGGTAAGCTAGCACCATGTTCTGTTTCTGTCCATGTTCGTTCTTTTCCTTGCAACATGGTTTTAAAGTAAATCATGTTTGCACGACGGCAAAGAATCAGTGAGGAACACCGATTTTATGCTCACAATGTTTTTGTTGCAGTTGTTGACAGGACTGACGATGATGGCGATCAGGTTAATAGTAATAGCAATAAGGATAACAATAATAATGATAATAATGATGATGGTTTAACTGGAGTCATGTGGTCGAAGCATAGTCAGTGAAGATAAATGCATGGCTTTAGTCCATTTAAAATGATCGACAATCACTACGAAGCAAGTTTGGCCTGACTGAGAACATTCGTTGCGTTTTTTCAGGAAGGATGCTGGACTACCTAGGCTGGGCAACTAAAAGAACGGCTTTTATCTTAATAGATTCCAAAAGGCAGTTGAAAGTGACCGGTAGTGTGACGGTTGAACGAATTTTGTTTCAAGTAAATACATGCAGCTTGAAGAGCAAAGCGTCGCACGCAATCAACCTGCTGGTTTGCTTCCAACAGTTAAAGAACTAAACTGTCCGATACGGCAGTAACACTCAAACGAAAGGAACAGCCTCCTCATGACATACGTCTGCGGAGTCTTTCAACAGCACATTGGTCAGCACAGTTCCGGAAGGATAGACAACGTGTTTTCTGCATGAATTGTCACAAACAAATGACGCGCAACCAAAGCAGCTTGGGATGTGTGCACGTAGTTCCTGGTCTCTGGTTCACGGCCACTGGCGATCACGTGATCAACCTTGGGGATTGTTCAATTGCATATCTGAGGTTTTGGCGCGCAAGCGTCAACTGCAAGCCACAATCTTAATGTGGTGGATAGATAGGAAATATTCAAAACAGACTGTGTTTTGAGTTGTCGTTTGCAGAATAAGCGTACCCGTTACCAAACCGCATTAATACTCCTTATGATCACTTACTTTTGTAGATTCAATGAACTGGCTTAGGCAGAAGTTATATAAAAGTATGGAATTTTTCACCAAATGGGCTACTATAAAAGAGACAGTAGAATGAAATGCACTTTATTGCTTCAACTCGGTAATTTTCAAATTTACGCTTTCTAGACGGATGCTCCTACTTGGATTTGAATCGGCTGAGCTTTACAACAACCTGGGACTGTGTGCTTTCTACGCTCAACAGTATGACACGTGTATGGGCTATTTCAACCAAGCCATCCAAATGAGTACTTTGAAATCTGCGGCCGAAATCTTCTACAATATCGCACACATTGGAATTGTGAGTATTTTCGTTGAAAAAAAAAACAGACAACTAGGCCTCAACTTTGGATAATGCCTAAAAATGGCGTCTTTAATTGCTTAGGTTGACCCAACACTAATTCCGCCACCAGCTACTCGCCTTTTCAATGCAAATATAAATCTGGTAATGGTAGGAATGAATAGTTCATGTGCTACAATGCCACTTTTATCACGGAGGTCTCTTCTTCACTAGCCAGAGCGCTTGGAAAGCGGCTTGGTAGTGCTGCTGCATGACTGTTTTTACATCCATTTATTATGTACATGATGATTGTGTATACCCTGTCGCCATATGCCCTTAGAGCTGGTGAGAATGGTAAAGCATGGTAGTTCAGGAAACTTGTTTTCGTTTAAGGCTTTTTCATCAATTAACTATTCCATTCTTTTGTCAGTCGTGAGCCCTCAGACGGAACTGAATCGAACCGTCGAGTACATAGGCCAACGAAACTTGGCCATCACCTGCCTGCTTAGTCGGTATTCTAAATTACAAAGGTCACTCCAATTGTAAAGTTCATGTTCAGTAACTTATCACGGTTGTTAGTGAAGCAAAACTCCCTGAAAAAGTATGCCTTTGAGTTATTTTTGTCCCGGAGCTTATCAGGTTTTATCGGACGATGTTTCCCTAAAGGAGTCTTCTTCCTTCGGTCTCACATTACGGAAAACGTCCTACTTGCAAAAAAGTCTCTGTTAAAAACAAAAAGGTAATCGAGGTAAATGAAGTTGCTCTCCACTTTTTCTTCTTCCTCACAGAGGTTGGGTGATCTTAATCTCAGCTATCAATGCCTTCGAATTTCTCTCGCCTATGACACCCGCCATGCAGAAGCCTATAATAATTTGGGCGTCGTTGAACAATACCGAGGCCAAATGGATATGGTACGTACACAATAAAAAATTGTTTCGATAGGTTTTGATGCCGTTTCTTTCATATTTTTTTTGAAGCACTTAGTTCGTTTCAAATGAATTTAAGCTTAGTTTGAAAAACTATAATCTGACTAAAACGATGAGTACATGATTCGTGAATATCTTCGCGTCATCCTGAATACATTAAGACAGTTTTTTCCCTGTGACGAAATCAATCATTTATTGTGCTTCACAATAAAACAGATGAAAAATGCATTACTGGTATAGTGCATCATCAAAAACCAGATTCAAATTTTGTTTTAACACCTTAATATTTTGTGCATTCGATAATACTACTGTGTTCCGTAACATACAGGCTGGTCGAAACTTTTTACTAGTGTCTGCTTTGAGCACACATGCTTCGTATTTTAAAAAGTAATAATGGAAAACAATGCAGCCGAATTTCGTCTTGGAAACAAGTAGCTCGATTCGAGTCTCATCACCTGAAGCAAATTCCAAAATTGCATCGACGTGCTCAATAAAGTGTGGGCCGCTTGTTAAAAAAATCTATAGGACAGCGTCTTGTCAAACCTTCCAAGGAATGGTCTGGTTAGGACGCAATTAGCAACTTGCTGGGTTGTTGTAAACGTTGTACTTAAGCTTATAGTCCTAGGATGAATTCACCCACACAGATCTAATCCATATTTATCCATAGTCAGGTCGTTTGAACACCTTTCATTCATTTTAGGCCAAGGTGTTCTACGAAACATCATGTAATTTGGACGAGGAGCTATTCGAACCACGTCATAATATGGCATTACTGCACGATCAGGTGAGTAAGGACCAGTGACTTCTGTCTTTGAAGGCTTTCTTCGTGGAAAACAAAAAATAACTCCAAGCTTTTCTAACCGATGGCTTGTTCGAACAAACACCTAACTCCTGAAGTAAAGCCAAAAAGTCTAATCCGCTTATTCCTTGATGATGGCTTGTGAACTGACAATAAACAATCTACTGGCTTGGAATGCTATGGCATGAGCCCAGATGTAGAATACTGCTTGTGTTCACACTGCAGTTGATTAAGTTCACCCTGGTCAGGCTATCTGTGGGTTTATCGTAGAAGCCTTAATGTCTCTGTTGAACTGAAATATTTTCCTGCTGACTACCAACACTCTCTGGCTTCATCTCAGATAGCCTTTCTTCACGACAGAGCTAATCATCCACCTATTTTTCTAAAGTGGTTGTCTTCCTGTCTGCCCTGGCTATTATTGATAATATTATCAGTTATTAGTACTGGTTCCTGAATGGTTCACAACAGGCAGCTTCAGTAGTCCTCTCCAAATGAGGCTGACTTACATGAATCGGCTGTTTGGTCGTTGATATTTTCTTTTTACACTCAAGTGTCTTTCAGACTATCTTGGGAATGCGCCATTGTGACATCACAATTTTGAGTTCACAGATAGTATCATCAGACCTTTGATATTGAGATCATGAATGACGTTGGTGGAGTTGTCTGAGTCCTTCTCAAGTCGGCAGTGCTTGTCTCCTGAAAGTAGTTTGGTTTCGGTCAACATTAAGTGATTGCTTCTTGCGCCGTTGATGTGATATTACTCTGTTCCCACCAAGCGTCTTTCACGGCTGTTTTTTCAGCACGTTTGTCTACAGGGATTTTGTCAACCGAATTAGAAACATTTCATCCTCTCGTAGGACACTTCTATTTTATTTTTGGTGCATAGTCCAGCAAACCGCCGAATTATTCATCATGACTGCAATGGATCCTTTGGGCCAGGTTGGGAAATGAGAAACAACAGATGACTCTCGGCAGATATTTCAATGAGGAATAACTTGAAACAATGTCCTACCGGCAGCTGGCGTTATTTGAGACGTCGTGTTGTGACAAACGCCAACAATGATACTGGCTTCGTTTCATGCATTCTAGAATACTCAAACACTTAACAAGTTTCACTTGAGCTAACATTCACTGATCAGTTTGTTTCAGCGGAGTTTTGTGATATAAACACTGCATGCATGGATAAAACAGCTTTACTATAGCAGCTGGAATTACTGTGCAGGTCCGGAATTCTTACAACTGATGATGATGATCATGATTATGATCATAGTGATGACAATGCTTTCCTGCTTTTCGGCACTGAGTGGTTTCACCTACGCGACGAAACCTCCATTAAAGCAGACATAGAACGTTTGAGGCCTTCGGGACCTCGTGCATACCTTTTTCTTTTCAAGCATCACCGAGCACCTAACTCTTACAAACTCCCATCCGCTGTGTGGAAAAATAAAGGCGGAATTTTCAGTCCATGACAACATACTCGCATCTGTCTGAGCAAAAGAGATTATCTCAACCAACTGGGGTGATTCGACAGTGGTGCCCACTTTTAGAAAAGAAGCACGCAGTAAACAGGGTCACCGACACTTGCCGAACCCTTTGTAACTAGGTTTTTTGTCTTTTTATGAGAGCGATAAGGCGCGAACAGAGAACAGTTAGTAAAATTTTGGTCGGATATATTTGAACTTAATCGTATGTTACTTTAGTGATAAATTTATGGTCAACTACAATCCTTGCGTTCCTTAACCAAGAGGTTGCATTCCATTTTGTCGAACTGTTCGTTCTTATCAACAAGCTTGTGTAGGTACAGCTCTACAGAAGCTTTCCTCACAGCATCGATGTATAACAAGGGTGTTCAGTCTCTCCACCTTTGTTTAATCTTGCCACTGATTAGGTAAAGGAGGCGAACTCCGAAAGGCCTCCAAAGTGCCGTTGAAAAATCTCCCCCAGCAAGGACCTTGTCGACCCTGGATAGGAATATAACGAAGTCCTTGTTTTTATAGGAGAGCTGGAAGTGTGAACATCGCTAGGAAATCTGACCGATATCATTCACTCCTTTGGCACGTATTCCATGCCCACAAGTTTCAAAGTTATGTTGGGGTAGCAGAGTTTTGAGCGATGCTTCTAAGAACTTAGTGAATGATACTGAAACTTGTGGAATATATTGCGCATTTCTATATTGGATTAGCCCTAACTACAGTCTGACAGGCGAAGTCAACGCAGAAATCTTAAATCCTAGAAATTATTCTGTTAGCTTTTGCTACTTGCCACACTATAAAGACACAGCCCTTCATGTGACGCTTGTATCAAACGATGATTTTGGATATGCTGTTGTACGGCTGCAGACGTTGGCCACTTCGTTTGTAGTTTCATGGACAACTTTAGGTCTTCTACCTCCAATTCTACAAACTGCGCATATCGAGTTGCTGCCCTTCAAGTGTAGTGTTGTCCTCTAATCTAAATTGTCGTGGACGCAGTATGACAGAGTAGAAGAGAATGAAGGATGTTTAGAAAAATTTGGGATTTCTGGTGGTGTCCGCCCTCCAAGATTGGGTCGANTGCCTGTTTTGGCTGAATAAACTAAAAGATGTGCCGGATAAACTTTGTCGGTGACATTCATGCCACCATTTTCTATGCAGATTGAGTGTTGGGGGTGTTGACAACTAGGAGGTTTGAGGTAGGCTGTTCCTAGATCTTCCATCTGGTCCAGTTTTCGCCTTTTATATTATGAGGCCCATTAAAATAAATTAACCTGAAGAATCAATACTCTCCTTATGTACAGCTGTGGGTGATGATCGGAATGGTGCTTTGACATCAGTGGCTTAGTTGTAATATCCTGGAGGAACAGCCGCAGCCTAAAGTTGGAATACGAACGTATGCCTAACACCTACCAGCAAACAAAAACAGATGTTTGGCTCTTAATTTAATATCATGACACGTCTTTTCTAACGTAGAGTTACTGCTCAGCTCGGTGGCTTCCAAGTCCTAGTATCCTTGTTACTTCGGAGCCCGTTGTTGAAGATGTCAGATTTCACCCTCGGTCAGCTTTCAAATAAATAAATAAATTGATTAGCTATAAACAGTGTGACATAGGCACGTTGGTTCCAACCGCTACAGCTTCAATCACCGGAAAATGGGAAAGTGGAATATATGTAACCAAGCCTTGGAGGCGAAGGCATGTTTAGTTCACTCGTGTAGCTACGCATTGAAGGTAATAGCTTTGATTCATGAGCGTCACTGACTGCGCAACTGGGCCATTTCCGCCAGTGTCGTTAACCACTGGTGATTCCAGTCCGGGTTCCCCATATAGTTACTGACTCGATATACACTAACTTCCATGACTGGATACCAACCATTGGCGTAACATAAAATCGCTCATATCTCCTTCATTACCAGTAAGCTCTTTCCGGTGACTCTTAGGCAGTATTCATGCTATCGGGTCCGTTTAGGGTTTAGCGGGTTTGCTTATGGGTTTGGAGTTCTGGCAGTGTAGTCAGTCAGTCTGAATTTTTACTTTCTTATTCAAAAGTTTTCGTTTCGCTGCTACGAGTTATTATTATCGTAGCACGACAAGGCATTAAAGCGGAAATCGATAACGTAAGCGATACGAAGCAGAAATCATTCGTTCTTTTCCCTTCTGCACTGATATATACATATATATGTAATTAGCCGAACCATATAGTTGTGCGGCAGTTAAGCATCAGTTTCAACATTGATGTTTCTGTCTCTGGTGATGATAATGACCATGATCATGATTTACGGGGAAATTAAAGCGTAACATGATGAGTGTCATCATTATGACTGTCATTACGTTGGTTAGTGTACTCGTTTCCCTTTTGTACTCTATTGTGCGTATATACTAATTGATGTATTGCACCTCACGTTATATTTAGTTCAGTTAGCTTCAAATTACATGACAGGTTTTTTAGCACCTGATAACGTGTCACAAAGTCCCCGGTCTTCAGTCTCGGTGATGTCAGGTCTGTTTAGAATGAAGCAGGGGATATTCCAAGACCAGAAAATATGAGTTGATAAATTTTAACCAGTTATGGCTTCTTAAGATTGCGTCACCTACCTACTTTCAGCAGGCTCGATCCCTTTGGTGCAGTATCAGTTAAATGCAGCATTTTTGTGGACCGCGATACACTGCTACTTTCTGCCATGGACTGTTAAACATTCTGTTTTTCATCCTTGTACAGATGAGTGAATTTTATGCCGCATACACCTACGCTGCACAAGCGCTCCGTTTACTTCCAAACAACGAGAACCTTCTCCAGCTACAGAGCAAATTGTCGATTTACTTTCGCACCACTTAATGTTCAACAAAGTGTGATGTAAACTATCCACATTTATTTTCAAGCAGCATTTAAAAAAATCACCGAAAATAGTTTCCCGTTTGATGTTTTTGTGAATCTGCATTCTAACTTGTTAACTTTCGAGTTGGTTGTACAGTAAATCCAACTGCATATGGCATTTCCCCCGGACGTTTGAAATATTATCTGAAAAATCCATAAAAACCTGTACCCAAAAGAAAAACTATGAATTTTGTATCCGTATTTCTAAGCAGTTTTGCTTTCTGTATTATCGTAAGACTAGCCCATCCAAACCAGGACCTTCATTTGCTGAAACAGTGCTTAAAGAAGTGACCATCTTCAATGCCGCCTAGAATCCCACGGAGATCGGACTGACTTGCATTGTGACGATTGGCTTCTGTTAGAGAGTGAGTCAATTTCTTGGAGACTCCGTAGTGTTCCTGTACCGTATACCACGCATAGAAAAACCCTTCCAAAGTTAATTCGGCGGTATGGATCTAGGTCCTCTCCGTCCATACGAGAATGCCCTCTGAACTAACGTTTCTGTTTTCAGCTTATATAGTTTTTCTGAAGAGGGACTCTTGATCACACGCGTCTCTAATTGCCAGCGACTAAGGGATATCCTTTTCTACTTGTCTCGCATCCTCCGGTGTTCCAAACTGAGCTTCCTATCAGTTCATTATGTGCAACTTCAGAATCCGTGTGAGCTACCATATGAAGGTGCGTATTTGTGGCTTCAATGTCGACATTACCACCAGATTTCTCAATTGAACTAAGGCGACCGCACGTAACACAGGATTCCACAAATGAAATGGAGGGACCTCTCCGTTTTCTCATGTGCTGGTGCCATTTTAGGCAATCAAGGAGCAGTTGAGAATGGTGTCATAATTTTCAGGACATTTTAGATCACAGGAGGCCTCAGAACCATATGGGCTGTCTTAAAAGTGTCGCCCAGTAGAGCAGATAAATACGCAGTACATCCCGTAAACCTATGAAATGCGAATGTCCGCAAGATTCCGCCGTGTAAAAGCCGATACTCTGAAGAAATCGTAGAACTGTTCTGTCGTTGGGTACCATATGCGTGGCTGGTAGCTCACTAGAAAGCACTATAGATAAACGCCAACTGTGCGCCCTGCCCAATCAGTTTTGGTGGATTGGTGCACGATTTAGGTAACTTTAGTTGGACGCCCTAACTCAATAGAACTCAGCAACTGCTGGGTGTTAGATTTCAGAGACACCCGTTATCTCGTGCAAGATAGCAAAACCATTAGCGCTAGGCTTGGAACTAAGATTATTTAACAATTTTCCATACTGTTCCAGCGCGGGTACGTGGGTAGAACAAATCGACAGAAGAAACCTAAACCTTCTTCTTGCCGTTCACTGGCTGATATCCACCTGAAAAGAACAAGAGAAAACGCGTAACACTGGTCTTTAAGTTGTCGATGAAAAGCAGTAAGCTTGCCAGCGCAAGTGCTCGCATAAAAGGTCTCTGAAATTGCCTTGAGCTGCGTAATGGATGTGCGTGGGCAATCGTCGGAAGAAAGTTATTCTACGCTCCAACCTGCCTATGTTGGAAAAATTGTTTTCCAACAAAAGTGAGCTTGGAAAACTTGCCATGGCCCCGCCATGTGTAGACTGGGTAAACGGTGAAAACCTGCCAGCCAAACATTGTTCAAATAGGACATAAGTAGGTATTAGGTCTCCTTAGGTGCGACGACACGTTAGGGGGAAAATACCAAAAACCGTGAGACACATATCAAAGTTCACAGATTTAGGGCAGGCAACCATTTTCGTGGCAGGTCGTTAGACACGCTCAATAGGGGTTACGTCCTGCGTGCATCCTGAGTAAAAAACTTGGTTGGCATATTCAAGAAGCGATCTAGCATAGATTCCAAGGCGTATTCGTAGGTCTGTAGCACTTGTAAACTGCTCTTTTTCATGCTCAGTATCATCTTTTTTCCCATCATTACCAGTCACATCGCTGTACAAAAGTTTGTTTTACTGAAATACAACCGCTACCGCCGCGCGTTGGCTCCAACGTGACTTTGAGACTTCTGCTGAGTGACTGTTGTTGTGACCGCCGGTTAGCTATATCTGACCGCTGCTAACACTAAACGTGAACAAACATTTCAGCTACAAACGCTGGACTAATATATTCGCACTTGTGGAATAATATTTCGATCACCGGAGATCTGGGATACCAGGAAGATAGAACTATTCTTTGTGTGGTGGTTCAACGGAATACGGAACTACGGAATCTCCTATTTTGAACTGTGAGTCAAGATTTACTTGTATTTTTCTCTTTGTGACTTTGTATCTGGCTTACACCAGTAATTTGTTCAGTTCACTAGAGACTCCATAGGGCCGTTAACCACTACAGGTCCATGAAAATAATAAAAAAGAAGATGAGTCGAGTCATACGTAAAATGGTGAATGCGTTCTGAGACGATTTCACATGGTAAGTAAGAAGGACATGTTTGAAGAGAGCCAGATATGCAAATTTTTAGGCGTTTATCCCCGTGACGTCTTCCGGTTCGTCCCGTCCATACATGAAAAAGGAGATCACTGAGTCCCCTCTGATTGACATTTTGACGCACTGTTCATGAGCCAGATAGCAAATTTTTAGGCGTTTATCCCCGTGACGTCTTCCGGTTCGTCCCGTCCATACATGAAAAAGGAGATCACTGAGTCCCCTCTGATTGACATTTTGACGCACTGTTCATCGTTCAAAGTAGGGTCTAGGCCAACGGCCACTAACTGAAAAGTCTATATCCATTTGGAGTTCACTGTCATTTGAAACCCAGGATTTCAAGTCGCCTACAAAACGTAGACCTGGACTTCAAAGAGCATTTGGTACATCGTCTGCGTAGATCATAAACAGAAGTGGTTCCATAACAGAGCCTTGAGAAACTCCAATTGAAACCCGTCAAGCCTAATTTTACTCAAAATTTTCTTTTTTATGGGGATGTTCATGTGAAGATCAAATTGGTAAGAGGCCGGCCGTAGTTATGCCTTGACAATATTAGGTGTGACTTAGAAGAGCACATTCCAGTACCGGAAACCAGGCGCAAACCAGCCAATCGGACAAACAGTACGTAGCTTCACCATGCGGAGGGTGCTGTGATGCCTTCAGTCCGCCACAACGCAGTGTCGTTTGTCACAAAAGAACCGAGCGAGATCGCACAACATGGCATGGAGCTCGTGCTCCGATGCGGACTTGGCGGCCCTTACATTCTAGGTCAGCTGGCATTGGCGCCATCGTTGACTGGGTTTGTCAACTGATCGAAGCGCGCTGGATATTCATCGACCGTTACACAGATACAAGCAAACACTACAAATCAACTCCACAAATTCCGTAATGGGTCTTGCTTTTCAAAAGACGTGAAGCATAATCGGATAAAACGTACCACTCGCATGCCCCATCAGTATTAGCCTGTGGCGGACTAGGACCTTATCAGCGGGCTCGGATAAATTAACAAGCAACGTAACCAATACAAAGTCACAAAATCACAATAGGAAAGGAATGAGTAGTCAAATGGGGACTCACGGGTGCGTAGATCCAATAGTTCACTGCACCGATCCAAATGCAGTAACTGGCTGTGAAAGGAAATATTCACTTGGCGGAATTTCCCACAGATGGTTCCGCGTGCGTGATATATTCCACGGTTGGAAAATTATTCACGCTAAAAAAATGTCACAGGGATTTATTGTGACGTTCAACAGTTGACACAAACACAGAGATTTGGTCCCACTGGCTCAGCAGTCAACAAACAGTTCAACGGAGCGTAAATACACTCGTTCAGCAAGAAGTCAGCAGGTCGCACCGTAAAATTGTGTATTCGTAACATTAAAACAAACGTCATGATAAAATGTGAACGACAGTTACAAAGTGTGGCTGAAGTTCAGGAAGAACGGTAAATGTGACAACGGATTACAGACACTACAAGCCATCGTTACACATCATTCCCCTATAATTTCGTTCGCCTGCCGCTGAAGTCCTTTTATCCTCTCCAGGTTGGCTCTAGCAGCGGGTTTGTTTAGCCGCTTTCCGTGGGTAACTTACCACTTACGAAACCGTGTTCCATTTACTCTTTTTGATCCCCGACCGCCGTGAATTGTATAGACGTTGCCCCGGCGTCCGGTAGTGACAAAGGGCCCTGGCCATGAAATGTCTAGCTTCCGCGGCCCCACTCCGACCCTTCCGGGATTCTGATGATCCTTCCACTTGCCATGAAATGTCTAGCTTCCGCGGCCCCCTTCCGGGATTCTGATGATCCTTCCACTTGATCCTCACGCCTATGGGGAACGCTTGTGCCCTTCTACTTGCTGTTTTCTGCCTAGTCCTTTCCTGAATGGTGGTTAAGTTTTCTCAAGCTCTCCTGCTTTCCTCCTCTAGCTCCTCTGTAGACAAGCGTGTTTCGGGCAAGGACCCAACTCCCTGTTCAACGGGAAAGCGCGGATGCTGACCCTACATCAGTATAAAGAGGGACTTGCTTGTGGTTGGTTGTATGGAAGCACGATGAGTTAGAAACACCACTGGCAAGTTCACTTCACACTTACCACCTTCGACCGTCAGTCACTCCTTGATCATTCGGTTATTACGTTCGTTTAGACCATTTGTTTGCGGGTGGTATGGTGCCGTCCCTAGCCGTCTGATGCCCAGATTCCGCAAGCAAGACCTGAACTATTTGCTCTCAAAACAGGGCCACTGATCCGTTAGGATCACTTTTTGCACCCCATGGTTGGCCACTATGTGATGCATTGCCACTCCGCTGATCGTCGTCGCCCGCTGATTGGGCACGGCTTCCGCCTCAATCCATCGCAACAGGTGTTCTGTCATTGTCACGATGTATTGATTCCCACTGGTTGTCACCGGAAAGGGGAATATGATGTCAAATGACCACAACTCGCCGATATCCGAGAAGGAATAGGTTCCATGGGATAGGTTGCTCCTTTCATTAATTAGTTGACATCGCTCACAGGACACTACATAATCCACGACCTAATTTCTCATCCCGGGCCAGTAGGCCCTCTGCCGAAGTAGGTCGTATGTCTTGGTGCACCCTGTGTGTGCCATCTCATGGCATTCAACGATGAAATTCCGTCTCAAGACGCGAGGTGTCACGGGCAGCACAACATCTGGATCAGTGGTGTTCCAGGAAATTATGCCAGCTTCATTCGGCCTCAGTCGATAAAGTGACTGTGGAACGCTTCTAGTTCCTTGTCTCCCTCTCCGTTTTCAATGCTCCTTCCATCCGACAAGGCGGCTGCAACCTTCCGTAACGTGTGATGCTCCCGTTGGAGTTGTACCAACATTCCGGGATCTAGTTGAACGACGAGGCCATTGGCCCCAGTCATGATCCTGGGGATCTCATCTTCAGCCTCTGGTCTTGATAACCAATCAAGCAAGTGGTTGTCCTTCCCTGGCACATGCCAGAAGGTAAATCGTACTCTTGCAACCGGAGTGTCCAGGGTGCGAGCTTCCCGCGAGGATCTCTGGTGGCCCTGATCCACTCCAGAGTTCTGTGATCGGTTTCGACATTAAATTTGTCCAAAACAAATATGGCCTACACCTATCTTGCGCCTAGACGATTGCTAAACATTTTTCTCAGTGGTCGAGTAATTCTGTTCAGCGTTAGTCGGGACATGACAGGCATATTTGATAACTCCATTCCTCCGCTTTAGGACTGCGCCGATACCGCGATCACTAGCGTCCGTTGCACCAGTAAGCTTCTCTTCGACCCTGGGCAATTTGAGGGTCGGTTACTGATCTATCATCCACGCTTTGATACGATCGAAGGCCTCATGCGCTTCCTCAGTCCATTCAAATTCCGATTTTGCACGATCAAGTCGTGCAGTGGCGCAGCGATTGTGTTGAAATCCTTAACAAACCGGCTGTAGTATGCTGCTCGTCCAAGAAACTGCCGTGAATACCGGTTTGAACTGGGAAAAGTACACTCCTCGACCTTTGCCAAATTTTCTGGCAGTAGGCTTATTTCTCCATGAACCAATTTATGCTCCAGCAGTGTCACCGAAATCCGCGAGAGTTTTGTTTTGGCCTCATTTGCCCGCAGGCCAGCCTCCCGGATCCGTTTCAATACAGCCATCAAGTGAACTGCGTGTTCTGGTTTCGAATTGCCGCGCACAACGATGTCGTCTCCGCACACTGCACCATTGTGTAGTCCCTTCGTTAAACGAAGCATCATGCGGCTGAATGTGAATGGTGCTCCAGACAAACCAAACGGCATTCGACTTACTTGATTTTGGGCGTCCCCAACCGTAAACGCCGCTCCCTCCCGGTCCTAGGCGTCGAAGGATAGTTGTCTGTATGCGGAACGCAATTCGAACAGTGAAAAATCGGGAATGCTGGAAGGAAACGAAAATTTCCGCAACCGAAGACACAGCTACAACCCTATTTACGGTTAGCTCATTCAAGCGCCGGAAATCCAAGCAAAACCTGTATTTTCCGTTCACCTTCCTTGCAAGCACAAAGGCAGAGTTGTATGAACTACTGGCTTTTTAATTGTGCCATTCTTCAACATCTCTCCTGAATTTGTCTACGATCGTCCTCCTGTTGATGGAGCTTCAGTGGATGGTGGACATTAGGTCGAAAGCGTTCTGATGAGAGGAAAATTTCGTGTTCAGTCTACGGGCAGAAGCCAAGCGGATCCTCATCGCCCGTGGACAGTTTGGAATGTTCCTCGACCACGGGCTGTACTGACGGTACGTTGCAGGAAGGGTGGTTTCAGATATGTAGCACACTCATGGCAGTTCTCGGATGACTTTTAAGCTTCCCTGCCGCATAACTTGTCACTATATTTTACTGGTTCAGGTCAACTACGAAATCTGCCCTCTTGAGAAAATCTGTCCCCTTTTGTTTGCTCTACATCTGGGCACGTCAGGAACGCTTGCTGCACAGACTTGTTGCCTAGACGTATAGAGTGCACTGACAATCCATCAATCTTAGATCGACATCCACCCACTGCCCTCAAGGCTAGCGCGTACGGTCTGCATTCAGCTTGGTTCCCTCTCCGGCTCAGCGATTCTCCTGCTCCTATACCAATCAAGCATAACTCCGTCTTCGGTCTACCCCGATAATGGCTTGCATGATATCCTGCGTCACTGCGCTAATCGCAACCGACCTGGGAAATGAGAAGTAATCTAATCGGTAGTTTGCATTTGGACAACGTTTCACTTTTGACACAATAGCTCCATCAGGCCAATGAGCAAGTCACCAAATGGGCCATGTTATGAGACAGAGGGTGAACCAATCAGCAAGTCAGTCCTCTTCAGATTATCACACCAGATCCGCGTTGGGTGTCACTTAACGGCTCTTGTCGGTTGGTGAAGTTGTCAAAATTTTGCTCTGGTGGATTGGGGAGATTTCAAATTATTCTTATAGGGGTTGGATCGTCAGTCCTTCACTTCATGGTGCTTCACTTGATGATTCACCTCAAGTGCAACCGGTAGATTTTCCCTGGTTTTTGTGGGGTTGTGAGTGCTCCGACAATGTAATTTGAGGGGAGTTGAGGTCAGGTGGAATTCAGATGATGACCACTCTTCTTTCTGATGAACGCACGCCAACATGTGCCATTCCGACTAATCCAGAACCGTTCTCTACACGCTTGTTAACACAGGGATGCGTGGCGACTTCACCGCCTCGGCGATCAGTCTGTGTGACGTGGACTGTAGTCCTCGCCACAAAACCTCAACATTTTCTAGATCCATTCTATGTCATGTGTCCAGAGCGTGTTCCACAATCGCCGAGTCTTTCATTAAAGCTTCATATTCATCTGCCTTTCTCGGTGGCCTGTTTATTTTGCTAATGTGCTGTCCGCCCCTAATGTGTAGTTTCCTGGCCGCCTTTCCTATATAGACCTTGGTGAAGTTATCACACAATTTTATAATTGAGAAGTAACCCAAATTTTAATTATGTACAGGTGTTCAGGTACGATGACTTTGTATCCTCCAGTGGTTCGGCCTGCCACACTTGCAGCACCGACCCGTTTGATCGCGCCTCCGCGATTCCGTCTTTCTGACTGCAAGCTGTTCCGCGAGTTAGTCCACTCTAGTCTGCAGTTCGTTCACTGTTGAACCATCCTTGTTCTCCCGTGACTGGAACGTGGCCAGTGGTGCCTTGGCCGATTCCCGTGCCGAATGCACCAGCTCCTCCATACGCAACCGGCTAGTCACTCTAGCCAACCACAACTGGGCACTAAGCGCCGGCTTCAATCCTCCGATGAATGGGTTGGACAGCGAATGATGGCGCGACACTCCGTCCAGCCCCGGCAAAGCGCGAATCAATGGTTGTTACAGGCCAGGGATAAACACGCTCGGGTCAGATCCAGGTGCCATCCCGGGCGTCTTGAACCACCTCGTAGCCTCCTGGCGGTCGGCCGGCGTGTCGAACTCCGCTGCAAGGCCTTCCTTCGTGGTGGCCAAGTCCATCTTCCAAGGGCCTCTTCTGGCCGCATCCACGGCAGCCGTCGCCCGGACTCTGAGGGGGGTCTTCAGCGCCTCCAAATAACCTCGGGCGTCACCCCGTCCGAGAGCCTCCGCATCCTCCGGAAAGGTCCAATATCCCCACTCATAAAGAGCTGTGACCACGTGATCTTCATCCTTATCCTGGTCACGGCACCAGATGAAGGGTAGAAGGCTTTCACTGCAATGAGGCATGCGAGTAATATGTTTCCTCGTAATTCCGCTTCGCGTCTCTTGAAAAGAGATCTATTACGGGATATGTGGATCGCTTTGCAGCACTTGCTTGCATTTGAGGAACAGTCCGGAAAAGTTCGGGGAGACGCGTTCAAGGAGAAGATGGGCATCCAGTTTTGTATACAAGATGCATAATAATAACAAGATGCATAATAAATAATTATTAGAAAACGCCAACTTAACAGTTACAGACTATTGGACATGAGAGCAAATTTCTTATACGCATCTTGTTTACAAAACTGGATGCCCATCTTCTCCTTGAACGCGTCTCCCCGAACTTTCCCGGACTGTTCCTCAAATGCAAGCAAGTGCTACAAAGCGATCCACAAATCCCGTAATAGATCTCTTTTCAAGAGACGCGAAGCGGAATTACGAGGAAACATATTACTCGTATGCCTCATCAGTAGTAGCCACCGTTACATCCGTATCCAATATTCATTTGATCGACGGTCAAACACTTGCCGACCAAACCTCATTCACTTAAGACGTAAGTAAGTGCGTGTTCCACTTGGAGGCAACAACATCCCACCTTAGTGACGTCACTGCGATGACATCATCCACAGCACCATCTAGTTCAGCTTCATTAGGACCACAGAAGGGGGGCAAAAGTTTCCTGCTGGATAAGCGAGCTTGACCGGACGCATGAAGCAATGAAGTGGCCTCACTGGGCTTTAGCATCTTGTCTTTCCAGCCGGATGGGCTCTTCACTCATTCACATATTGAATATACGGCTTCCAGTGTCACCTACCTGGACCGTCACTGTGCTAACTTGTGTTAATTAGTTCCGGAAACACGAGCTCTTAATACAGACAATGTTGAATTAGGGACGCCACGATGTTCCCTGTGATACCTTGTGACCCAGACATTAGCGCGGGTATAGAGAGATACTCACATTTATTGGATCCGCAAAAAGTATTATCTCTACGTTGCCAGCACTCCACACAGAGTAGTCAGACCACTGCTCTCACTACGTTTCCCATGTGCTGCACTCTGAGGCATTTGTAACCAACCGGCAATAGGACGAACTCTATGTAAACCAGAGGCAGGAAAAATCAAAACCACTGCTCCCTCGCTCCACATAAATGCGTGAACCAAGTGACTGAATCATACTGGTTGCCGTGGTAACGAAACGGCGGGAATACGAGTTATGCACACAGCCGATTTCATCGAAGCAAAATTAAAACAGCGTCCAGTGCTCTTAATTTCCAAGGAAGGCTGTCCAGTTTGCAAAGCCGTCGAAGGTATACTCAGCGGTTATAAGCTAAACAGCAAAAAGCCTGACAATTATGAAGTATTGTATATCGAATCAAGAAAGGATTGTGGAGTAATTGAAACGTATCTATGGCACAAGCTGATATATCGTAATCGGCAAGTAAGTCACGAGTTATAAGCAAGCTCAAAGCAAACGACTATAATAGACAAGATGTTGCCGTTTTGTGGTCAATTATAGTCATAGAACCATTCAAAAACTGTCATTTCGCTGTCATTGACAGCACTTAACCATATTTGACTGTATTTTTGGAGCTTTTCAGATCAATAGTCATCTTTCATCGCAGCAGAGAATAGTGCACTCTAATAACTTGGACTTTTTTCAGGCGCCGTTGTCAGAGAATTTGAAAAGCCTTGGATCACTATCCTAATTAACGCACTCGGAGAAAATATTAAGCTGTTGTCTCAGTGGACCAAAAAGCGGTATCTGCCGCAAGATACGAAAATGAGTGGTGAAACTTGACTGTACTTGTGGACTACAAAAGTATCTTTTAATACCTTGAACCAGAATAGTTAAACTGCACCCCACTTGTACTCAAAGAGGAGAGGCCACACAACTACCTCTTTCCGTACCATTGATCATTCTACTGTAACGCACTTTCGGTGCCTGGCTGCCTTGCCACGCGTAGAAGCGCAAGGAACAAGGGGCTTTCTGACAAATAGGCCCTCGAGTTAAATACCGAGACATTTCGAGCTCCCGCTTCCCACACAGTTTCCAGCAAACTCAAAAATTCTTTATTGATATGCCAGCTCACTGAGGAATGTCAGGCAAAACAAACCTCCGCTTCACAATGAGGATGGCTAAACGGGCTTTTTGAGCAGCGCGCCAGACACACTAAAACCCCTACCTGTGTGTCACTGCGCCCTAAAACCATAAGAAAATGCGTATTTTCCATGCATCCCATCATTTGAGCTACAAGACGCTCACTACAGGAGCTTTGAAACATGAATTCAGAACCTTCAGGGGAAACCGCGGTCGGTATGGAAAAGATGCGTCCTAGATTCACGAAGATATGGCGACATCGCCGCCTCAGTTTTTCCGGAGCCTTCTGGCTTTAGCAACGTTCCATTCACAGTGGGGGCAAACGAATATCACGCCACTCTACGAAGGGGCTGATAGCCCGGCCCCGCCAACTGCTAGCCATTTCTACAGTGCTCTCCATATTTGTGAAATCCATTGCAGAGAATATTCGGACACAAACTTGGAACGATGCAAAATAATGTTCCTGGAGTAGCACATAACAAGTCAAAATATCCTGTCCTACTAATCAATTTTTAGTAGTAAGAGGATGAACCAAAGATCTGAAGATAATTGAGATAGATCCCGTCTACATGGAGATATCTAAGACATTTGATTCGCTGAGGAGTATCATAATTCAATGGTGTGAGGGACAGAGAATTACATTAGCCGGTAAAGAAACAGATGGCGTGAGTTTAACAATGTCGCACTGCAAACATATCCGTGGGGACGAACCAAAAGTTTCAATGTTGGGCCCAATAGAGATTTTTTACCTTCTCATCATCATGCTTATTATTTTCTACTGTCATCAGAATCAGCATCATCCAGTGGACTCAAAATAAATTTGTACCTCAATAAAACCTCTGGGTGCCCATCAGCAGTGGTGGTTAACCACTTGTCTTTCAGAAATTTCACATTCTTTCTCCCCGATTTCTGGACGGTCGGAACTGTCTGCTTGACTAGAGTCGTGGAGAAAGTCCAGAGAAATATAATTCAGGAAGAACTGGAGTACTCAGTTTAGTGTTTTATGCCTGGTAATGCTGCAATTTGGATTCGTGCGCTGCGTTTGAGAACTCTTCAACACCAGGTTTTATACCATTTCTCTACCTCATGTGGAGTGTGCAAGTAAAGTATGTAACACATAGCTCCAGCGCGATCATACACCTCGTATGAAAGATCATTCGCGGGCCATTAAATTTACCAGAGGTCACATAACAATCAGAAAGCCAGAAATACTGTGGTAGCAGTAGAGGAATACCATTTCTCTCCTCATGTGGAGTGTGCAAGTAAAGTATGTAACACATAGCTCCAGCGCGATCATACACCTCGTATGAAAGATCATTCGCGGCCCATTAAATTTACCAGAGGTCACATAACAATCAGAAAGCCAGAAATACTGTGGTAGCAGTAGAGGAATAGCTAATGTTTCAGCCATTTTCTCTACTTTAGAGACGGTAGAACAACAGAACTTAAAGAGTGAATTTCGTTACTGATGATATTTATCTAGTTTCGTAGATGTATTAGACTTTATGGATGCGCGTGTGTAGAGCACACTAAAGTAGGATAAGGTTTCTTAACTATGGAGCCAGTAACCATCGTCGTCGAAGAAACAGTAGTCTGAAACCGCAGAAGCTGAATACGACAGTTAAATTGATTTGCTAACTTCGACCCAACTTAATATTATCCCTTCTGTCTGACTACAAACTCGCTTGAGAAATATTTAGGATATCGGCTGAAACGCCCCCTTTATAAGTGTTTTCAATGAAGCACGAGGATTGTGAATCTTTTCAAGTGCGTAGTTATAACCTATTCCATCGAGAGAGCGTGTGAGGTGAACATGAGATGATATACGAGAAAACTGCTTGTACACTACTTTTGCACTTTGTAATGATGTGCATTAGGAAATTATATAATGGGGTTTTGCTCAGTGTTTCACCATGATGCATGCCTACGGCACTGAAAAGCACACTCTGGAGGGTTATTTGCTGCATAGGACAACCACGACGGACAAACATACCAGAAGTTTCCCCGCTGCACGACAAACACCTGGAGAAGCTCGACGGTCAAACAGGATCACTGAGTCGAATTCCTCATTGATATACTTCATCAGAGTCAGCTGCTAACAGGATATCAACAAATGTTGGAAACAATGATAATAACAAAAAAAGAACTGTTACAAAGCTCTGCGAACTACCGGGTCAGAGAAAATCATCCTAGCGAGTAAGGAATACCCTCAGGATTATATGTAGTTCTACATTGGTCAACTTACTTATAATGATTGTGTGACTTATGCTCACAAGTCATTCATTTTCTTCTTCATTCCTCTGACAGTAACGCAAAATGCTATTAAATCGAGTGTAAACGGGAAAAGCGAGCACGTTATCAGATTTTATACAGAGACAAGAGCACTGATTTTTGTTTGGTTATCTTATTTAACGAAGACATCAATATGATAGCGCGCCAAAACTGTGTCAGTTAGGTGAATGAGTAAGAGTGTTTGTATGGTGGCTAGTCTTTCAAACAACTGGATGTATGCAAACGAACTACTAAACTCTACTTAGTATATCCATAAGTCTTCTCCTGACCAAGACTTTCCAGGATAATCCGCCATGCCAAACTTTATAAGAATGATAAACACCTAAGGTTGCTAAGCCACAGTTGAGCCACAATACCAAACCCTGAAGGAGTATCAAAGTTACCAGCCATTCCCTTGGTTAATCAGTTATAAATGACGATCTAAAGGTTTATCGGTTCCAGTGAAATAATTGTTCAAAAGTGCACTGTGATTTCCATCCTTTGATATCGTATCGGTTTGCCTGTTGCCGTTAAAGTGTCACCGACCAACGAATCCTTAATTAATTCGACCCGTGATGTTTTAGTAAAGCCTTAAAATTCTGAGCCGGTATAAACAAGTTCCAGGGAAAATCGTAGGATTACCAGTAACGAAGGGTTTGTAGCAGTCGTCGGAGAACTGCAATTTATTGCAGGGATCCTGAATTCACACCGACATTCAATTTTACATATGCAGCGGAAAGAATTCCCCATTCTTCTGGAAGTTTCGCGAAATACGTAATGCAAATTACTTACAGTCAGGATAAGCGAGTGTACAGTCTCCAGAGATCAGCCAAAGATGACCTCACTTACAGGACGAAATCCCGACTATAATTTCAGAAGTCGTCATTTTTCTGGCAAACTAGAAGTAGCATAGAGAAAATCACTCAAGGAACCCTTCAGTTCACGACGGAATGGTGTGAATCTCGTGAACAGCTGTTCATGGCTGAACGATTGATTTTAGGCATGAGCACCTTGGAAGCATTTGGATAGGCAAGAACGGTCCCTGTTCTCCTTCTTTCATTACTTCTACAGAATAAACTAAAATCATCGTGGCGCCACAAGCATCGGTATTTAACACATACTTTTCCAGAAACTTCGAAATTACTTGCTGTTAAGGTGTAGACTGTCCGGCATATGCTTTGATATTGTTAACATTGCCCTGAAAACAAATATGTATACAGCGAAGCATCACTGCAGGGCAGTGATACTGTGCCGTCAAAGACGATGGTGATCGTGGAAAAAACTTACCTGTGTACATTCACCTTGTCTACAAATGCATACACGTAGATGATTTCCTGACAAACGTGTTGAAAAATTTCATCAGGTGCCCCATCTGTTCGTTGACGGCTCCCACGTCGGAGGAGCAAAGGAGATACAACTGCTGCACGACAGTGGAAAATTGGGACCAATACTACAGAACGCAGGAAAAAGATACGTTCCTCTTTTGAAACCTTCTGATTTAAAGGGATCGTGTTACTAGATCAGTAATATACCAGCGTTCTCATTGGTATTACAAAATCTGTCCCTGAGCATTGAGTAAATGCTGATTTTGACCAACTTCAGTTTTACGCTTATTTTATTTGGCAGTTGTCGTATGTATTATGTGCAAGGCTTTTGCAGAAAACTGTAATAAAGTGAGAAAAGATGTAGTGCAATGAATGATACACTTCATCCCTGAGGAAAGACAAAAATGATGATAACCGGGTGGTTTTTTCTCGGGATGGTATCTGTATCTCACAAATAAATGATCCACAGCAAAGCGTCCCGCACCAAAAAAGGCTGCATGACAGCGACATTAACTTGAGTAGTGCTGCGAACGAATCCTGGAGGTATGAGAAAATCTGTCAAGTCTTGTTAAAGCCCATGTTGATAATTTGTTTGTAGGGCGTGAATCTTGCAAAGATCCAGGGGACTCAGTTCCATGAGTGGGTTTCGAAGGCCAAACCTGTAAATGGTAAAATACGAGTGGGCCCAACTAAATACTATTGATGGAGAGATGAGGTGGACTCAAGCGTTCGTTCGTTCAGTCG